AATCACTCAAGCGATCAATCACTTTCAAATCTATTTGATCATCAGACATGACGAAATAGCATACTAAGAGAAGAGAGACAGACATAGAGGAGGAGCGTGCAGCAGCCTCTGGAACAATTGCTGTTGTTGCTCGGTTGTGATGTAGACTGGACCGCCCAACGCTTGCCTGCCCTTAGGGCCAGAGCCGATGGCTGGCTTGCAGTTGGGCTGTGAACACGTCAGTTGGAGGTGCTCCTGATCCAATAGGGGCTGACCTTTGACCCGTGAGACTGATCGGTGACGTCATGTGACGTCATCGTCCCAAAACCCCCAACCAGTTGGAGCCGGGACCTAGCCGAACCCGACTACGAGCCCGAACCCGAGCCTGAGTCCAGCCTGCCTCGTTTCATTTGGATTTCTGATATACAGATGGATATATTTGTGTCGTGGATATATTAAAATTTGTAGCGAACCCGCATTTTGCATGTATATTTTTAAAAAATTCATTTGGATTCAACCGAAATTAAGAGATTCAGTGGAATTTTAGTGCTTCAACTCCGCTAGAATGCTGCTATTGATGGCGAGATGGCGTTTATTGGGCGCCGTTGTGGCGATTTTGCTCTTTGGCGCCATGGAACAGGTTTGGGCGACCGGGGCGACCACGGCGCCAGTGTTCGACTTCCTCCAGGACGACGAGATCAGCGCGCTACCGGGTGCGGAGCAACTCGAGATTAATTTCCGGCACTATTCGGGATTTTTCAAAGTATCCGAAACGCATTTCCTGCACTATTGGTGAGTTTTTTTTCCATTCCGCGACCTTTGACCTTTGACCTTTGACCTTCTAGGTCAAAGGTCTGGCAGATTATGGGGGGGTACCCCCTTTGGGGTGGCACTGGATTGAATTTCAGGTTTGTGATGATGATCTGGCTTGCGATTTCAGGTTCGTCGAATCACAAGGAGATCCCCAGGCGGATCCGGTGATATTCTGGTTTAACGGTGGACCGGGTTGTTCGTCTTTGGATGGACTGCTAAATGAGATGGGCCCTTATCTGGTGAACGCTGATGGGAAAACACTGCGGGCAAATGAATACGCTTGGAATAAGGTACGACAGAGTATATTATGGGTGGTTTTGAATCCCGTTTCCCGTCTCGGGTAAGACAAAATACCCGATCGGGTAGGCAAACCCGCCTGAAAGAGTATTGGGCAGAGACTTTGGGTAAATTCATTCAAGTGCTTTTTGCAGATGGCCTCGGTGATCTATATCGAGTCACCGGCCGGTGTCGGCTATTCGTATGCGACAGACGGCAACATTACGACAAATGATGACCAGGTATGGTGCTCTGGCTATATGGCTGCGAAAATGCTATATGGCTGCGAAATTCGCGCAATTTTTGAAGATCTGAAGATATTTGGCTGTT